TTTTTTCTACAAATGATCCTTCTAAGAATAAGTGAGTAAAGTAAAATTATGCTTCTATTGGTATAAATCCTATTGACTTCTGACCAAACTTTTACCTGGGTTGCAGGTTCAGTCCCTAGCCCAGTGGGGCAGATGTGGAAGGCAACCAGTCAATGTCTCTCTCTCACTTGGATGTTTCTCTCTCTCACCCTCCTCCTTCCCTTCCACTCTCTAACAATCAATGGGGAAATAGCCTCCAGTGAGGATTAGCAACATCAACAACAAAAAACACGTACTGTTAGTAAATGCTATTTTACTTTCACAGTTTGACTATAATTTGAAGAGCAATCTAGCTAACGAAATAATTCCTTATATTATTAAAGACCTTTAGTTCTATGAATTCATTTTAGCCAAATTCAATGTAATTTTTAGACATTTGTCTGCAAATACACTAACCATTTAAGAGACTAATTTCCCTCAACAAAGACTATCTATGTGAACTGAAGCTATCCATTGACATTCTCTCCTCAATGTGCCTGTGTCCGATCCTTGCCGGGCCTATGTTGCAGAAGTTCAGTGCAGCCTGGAGGAGGTGCTAAGCTATAATTTAAGAAGCTTTCACAGACATTTTGGTTATTCAATTTGGACTGTTTTCTCCAAATGAGGTTTATTGACTCAAGGAAGCACTAGTGACAAATTAATCCTGTAAACTTAAGGAAAGCCTCCTAGCACTTTAGAGTTTATAGCATTATGATGATAATGATCTGATAACAGTTCACGTTTAAAGACTGTTAAGCTTTCTCTGGCTCATGAGTAAAGATAAGGATAACAATTATTGGTCCTCATAAATGAATGAAACTGTAGTATCATTGTGTACACAGTCATGCATTTCTTAGGTATCGGACTTACAATTCTAGTTCTTATGGTTTCTTTTTTCTGATAATGTGAATATTAGCTATAGTGCATGACATGAGATCTGTGAGTAAGTTTACAATAGCTCTGTGTTATATGAGAAATCTAGAACAAGTGATTTACTCTTTCTTGGTATTTTTTTTTTTCTTCATTTGTATGGGGCAGGAAATATTACCTGACCTGTGTAAATACCAGGGTAATTATGAAATTATATGACTTGATATTAAAACACTTTGAGTAATTAAGACTGATAATATAACTAAATATTTTTAAGATTCAATTATTGATAGATATGTATTTATTGCCATTTTTCTGTTCATATTTTCTTAATATATTTTTATTGATTTCAGAGAGGAAAGGTGAGGGAGAGAGAGAAAGAAACATCAATGATGAGAGAGGATCATTGATTGGCTGCCTCCCTCACAGCCCTCTTGGGAGTCAAGCCCAAAATGTGGACTTGTACCCTGATCAGGAATTGAACCTTGACCTGATTCATAAGTTGACATCCTACCACTGAGCAATACCGGCCAGGCTACTCTTTTTTATCTTTCTTTTTCTTAAGACCCTTTAACATTTCATATAACATGGGATTGGTGGTGATAAACTCCTTCAGCTTTTTCTTGTCCTTTAGTTCTTTATCTGACCTTCAATGCTAAGTGATAGCTTTGCTGGGTAGAGTAATCTTGGTTGTAGGTCCTTACTTTTCAACACTTGGAATAGTTTTTGCCACCCCCTTCTGGCCTGTAAAATTTCTGTTGAGAAATCAGCTGACAATCTTATATGAGCTGGCTTGCATGTAACTAACTGCTTTTCTCTTGCTGCTTTTAAGATTCTCTCTTTGTCTTTACCTTTTTGCATTTTATTTATGATATGTGTCTCTTTGGGTTCATCTTGTTGGGACTCTCACCTTGTTGAAGTTCTCACTACGTTCATTTGACATTTTTTGTAACCAGTATTTTGAACATCTAGTAGATTGCTTGTCTGTATTTTGTTTAGTTCTTTTTTTGGAGTTTTGTTCTGTTCTTTTAGTTGTGACATGTGTCTTTGTCTTCACGTTTTGGCAGCCTCCCTGTGCTTGTTTCTGGGTATTAGGTAGAGCTGCTACATCACCAAGGCTTGGCAGAGTGTCCTAATGTGGTGGCGTCCTCCCCAACCACCCAGCCTGGGCACTTGAGGCAAGGACTCGCTGCACCGGTACTCTGGGCCCCCTGAGTCCGCCCTTTGAGGGTGTCACTTGTGGGGGTGGTTGGCTGGTGGTTTGACACGATTTGAAGTTGTTTACTGGGGATGCTGGTTCTGGGGTCTCCCAGGGGCTGCCGGATAAGACCCATAGAAGGCTTGGTTCTTCCCTGGGCCCCTGGCATAAGCTACAGAGTGGTCTGCAGATAGATGGCTACTACTTGTGCTGGCTGGCGTGGAAGTGCCCAGAGAGGCCACACTGTGAACCAAGGCAGGCTGCCACTATGCCAGGCCTGGGGCCGCTTAGGGAGAGGCCTGGGCACACTGAGGCCAGATGCTCTGTGTTTGAGAGATTTTAGGAAAATCTGAAGTGTGAGCCAAGACACACACTGCACGAAAAAGACACCAAAAACAGCTTGGGTAGGCCTGAGAGTTGGGAGCTGCAGGACAGACGGGATGAGTCAGGTTGATGGAGCCTCAGATACGGCCCCCGCCTGCCAGCTCTGCAGGGGAAAGGCTCATCAAAGGAACAACGGTCTCTGCCAGCACTTCTGTCTTGGAGAAGGCTGCTCTCCAGCTTTCCCCTGATGCTGGACAACTCAGTCCTCCCTGTGTGTCTCTGATGCCCTTTAGGCTGCCGCCTGAACACTGGAGTGAGTCTGCGTGGACCCTTTAGGACAGACTGCCTGGGCCTCCAGCAGCTCCTCTGCCACCTCCTTCCTCAGTCCCCACTCGTTTTTACCACCAGAAGTTATGGGGCTTCTCTTCCTGACCCTGGAACCCTGGTCTGGGGGGGCTAGTGTGAGGCTGGGACCCCGTGCTCCTCAGGGGGGATCTTCACAGCTGAGAAAACCCTTTTGATTTTTTATCCACCACTTGGTGTGTGACCAGCCTGGTCAACATTTCTGTCCCTCCTACCAGTCTCCATGTAGCTTCTTTTCATCCCTAGTGGTAGGACTTCTGTTCAACTGGATTTCAGGCCGCTCTGCAGGATGGGTGTTCTGTGGTTTAGCTGTCATTCTGATGTGGTGTTGGGAGGACTCGGATACTCTTCTTACCCACGCTGCCATTTTGACTGGAGGTCAGTCTTGGCAGCTTTTGGCATGTGAGTAGTGAGCCTTAGTTCAGCCCGTTCTTTCCTTTTCTTTTGTTACTCTATACCCCATGTGTCAAACACAAGGCCCGCGGGCCAAATCCGTCCCGCCAGGCCTTGCAATGTGGCCCGCACCACGCTATCATCACTGCACTCCGCTGCGTTTCCATCACAGTGACAGTTTATGACTGCTCAGTAAACCATTCGGCCCGCGATTTAGGCTGGATTTTAGATTTTGGCCCCTTCTCTGATTGAGTTCGACACCCCTACTCTATACAGATGACATTTAAAAATATATATATATTTTATTGATTTTTTACAGAGAGGAAGAGAGAGGGATAGAGAGTTAGAAACATCGATGAGAGAGAATCCTCGATCAGCTGCCTCTTGCACACCCCCTACTGGGGATGTGCCCGCAACCAACGTACATGCCCTTGACCGGAATCGAACCCGAGACCTTTCAGTCCGCAGGCCGACGCTCTATCCACTGAGCCAAACCGGTTTCGGCTATACAGATGACACTTGAACAAGACAGATTTGAAGTGAATGGTCAACTTACATGTGGTGTGTGTGTGTGTGTTTTTTTTCCTGTAAATACATACAGTATTGTCAATGTACTGTCTCTTCCTTATGATTTTTTAATAACACTTTTCTCAGGCTTAACTTATAAGAATACTGTATAAAATACATATAGCATACAATGTATGTGTTGATGGTTATTGGTAAGGCGTCTGGTCAACTGTAAACTATCGGTAGTTAATCTGGGGGAAGTGAAAAGTTACATGTGGATTTTTGACTGTGGGAGCCAGTAGGGTGGGGGCCAGCCCCCTCTCCTCTGGGTGGTTCAGATGTCACCTGTATTCATGTTTCACCATATCTGTTTGTCATCATCCAGGAAACATGTCCCCCTCTTAGTTGCCTGGTTCTCCCCGGCTCCCATGCCAGGGCTGATGGAGGATGAGGAAGAAAGACCCTGTGGCCGTGCCCTCACACAGTGCGTTCTCCTGGGGCCACCAGTCCCTTTCGCCCAAAGCTGGTGAGCTCTGCCCTCACCTCTAAGGAGAAAGGAGCAGCCAGGAGCAGGGGGCTGCCTGCCGCTGGTTGCTAGGAGGGAAGGCAAGTCAGTCAGCATTGGCTCTGTTCTGCTCCGGGACATCTGTCTGCCATCTGCTTGCTTCCCACCTCCTCTGACTGGTCTTTAACCTTCCACACAACCTCCCGAAGCTGCTGGAAAGACAGTGTCAGATTGAACTAGGTTTTGGGTAGTTCTTTCCTAAAACAAACACACTAAATCCACACCTCTGATTTCCAGAGAATAGCAAGCAATTTTTGGAACACTTCACATCATTTCAAATGAGCTCATGTGAATACGCCTTTTGTTTGTCACTCCATTCCAAACACACGTAAGAGAGAGAATGGCAAGCCATGAAATTGTGTTCTGTGAGTAAACATGACAACTTCCTTCTCAGACATAATAGCAACTGCTTCAGCCTTTGCCCTTTATTCTGACCCCTTTTCTTGTTCTGGCTTTCCCTTTTCTTGTTTTCCTCAGATTCGCTGTTTTGCTTTTATTGCTTAATGCAGGACTTCACACCCCTCACAGTTTTTTCTTTTCTGTTAGGAAAATGGCAGGAGTGTGGCAGGAAAAAAAAAAATTGGCAGAAATAACAAATGCCAACAAGGCGTTTCCTAGATAACAAACTCAGCCGTATTCAAATGTGCGTTTGATGCTGAAATCAGAGGGAAAGCAGAGCCACAGGGAGCCCATGGGATCAGAACTTAGCTCTTCACGTCACAGGGTTGGAAATGGCAGCCGGAGAGCTGCCCAGGGCCACACAGCGAAGTTATCAGCGGGAGCAAGGCTAGACCTTGGTCCGTTGGCTTGTTTTCGGTACTTTTCTGTAACGGAGATAGCATTATCGCAGAATTCACAAATAGCAAACACTTCCATGACCTAATGCTGTGATGGTTTTTAAAAGAATTGCTTGCTTTAGTTTCATAGAAAATGAAATCATTTTCACAATTGTTGAATTGTCAAAATGTTCACTCTAGATTTTAACTTGCAAACTCTTCGTAAATATTGATTATATATCAATTCAAACTCCCTTTGTACAGCATCTGGGGACTGGTTACACTATCCTGGTGTGCCGCTGTGGTAGGATATCAGACCTCTGGATTTTGGAAGAATTTTTGATGGCATGAAGTAATGCATATAAGTGGAGGACTGAAATAATGTATATAGTACTAGAGGCCCGGTGCACGGAATTCGTGCAAGAGCAGGCCTCTCTTCCCCTTCCCCTGGCCGATGGCAGGCTTCCCTCTGGCACCTGAACCCCAGCTTCCCTCCAGCCGCCCCAGAAACCCGGGACCGGGCTTTCCTCTGGCCGCTGGCTGTCTCCTAGAGGAAGTCCAAGTTCAGTGTGCATGAGGCCGTGAACTTACCTGGCTCCTCCACTTCGTTCTTCAGCCTCGCAACCACTGCTTTCTGTCTGTGCTTCACCTCGCAGTCCTGTTTGTAGTGTCTTGAATGGGCATATGTCATCTTGCCTCCGTGTCTCTGTATGTCCTTCTGTGCTTACCAAGGCTTCATTTTCTCTAGAAAAGTCTTTCAGTCCTTTCATTCCCACTCCCGCCTCCCACATGTTTGGGCTAGGTACCCCTTAACAGCCTTATACAATTCTACCGTGGCTCCACTCATCCTGTTTTATAATTATTCATGTTAACTGTTCTCCAGATGTGGCCTAGGGCCCCGGAGGCCTCCTAAAATAATAGAGGTCAAGGACTGGGTTTTCTACTGTAACTTCTGAAAACAGCTAATGTTGTGCAAACCATTAGGGCTTGTGAGGAGTGCAGCCCTGGGACTTACTCTCAACACAACAGCAGTTTAGCAGCTAGAACAGAGGCAATCTTAGTGAAAATTTTAGCACAGCTAAACCTTTCCTGGGATTTGCACTTATGCACAGCTGTAAACCCTTGGGCTCATCTTTTTCATATGAGATTTAAGATTTAGGCTCGGGAATAGTTTGCCTATGGGTATCATTTTCATCAAAATTTTAAAATCTGAACCTGGATATAGCCTTTATTAGTCTGTTTTAATTCAGGGAAAATGTCTTAGCTTTTTTTTTCCCGTCTGCATTTATAGCTCCTCCAGATTACTTGTACTGTACCTGCATCTAACTGCCATATCTATTTATCATCTATCTATACCTACATGCACACATACATACATAATTCCCAGGCTAAGGTATCTCTTTAATAGTGGTAGCTTGTTCTTTCCTATCACTTCCAACACATGAAGCCACCACAACTTCCTCATTATCTCCACCACATTACCCTATATACAAAATACATGAGCAAATCTGTGTTAAAGAAACATGCCTTGTAGCTGATTGTGCCTCCTATGCCAGGAAGCCCTTCCCGACCAACCACCTCCCTCCTGCCTATCCTTGCAGCTTTCTGTTCAGATCTGTTTTTCCTGCGAGGCTAGCCAGAAAGAAGTCCAGGAGAACTGGTTTCACAGTTTGGCACTGCTCCTTGTTGACAAGGTGGTTTTCTTTTCCAGCCCTCTGAGTACCTGGCCTCAGGTCTATTGTAACAGGTCTGAAACCCAGAGTACACTGCACTTTCTGCAGTGGAAATGTAATTCTCTCCTTCGTTAACATCTGTGACTGGCCACGCTCTGCTGCCCATAGTAGATGTTCTTAAGTTAGAGTAGACTCATGGATCTCTTAACTCAGTGTCGTTCTGAAATTATATGCAAAACTTTTGATTTATCTTTTAATAGAGAGAGGGGATGTAATATAATCAGACTTTAGAAAGGGTCCAGCGCTTCCCCCCAAAAAAACCCCAAAAAACAAAACAACAGCAACAACAAAAACCCAACTGGCCTCTAGGAGCAAGTTCTTAAGGTGCTGAATAGTACCCAAATGCTTATAATTTCCAAAAAAATACATCTGCTCTCTTGCTTTAAATACCAATTTCTTTCTCAACTCATCACTTTGTTAATCCTTTAAAAGTATTACATGAATCACGCCTTTAGGAAGCATCCTTGACTCCTGGAGTCAGTTTCTGCTTTGGGTTTCTCTGGGCTCCTGAGGCGGTGGTCACACGCAGTGTAGCGTAGCGCTCCCTACCTCTACAGGTGGCTCCTCACTTGAAAACGGGCATGTGAGCCTTCCTTATAGGCTTAGTACAGTGTCTGCCAGCCAATGGTGGTAGTTCTTGTTTGCTTGATTCCTCCTCTTGCCTTTCTCACCCAGTATGCGAGCTTCTGTATTGTAAAGTCAGTGTTTTTTGTCTTGCTGTGATAATTTTGGATAGATCAGAGTTCAGGAATTCAGTGGAACCTGAGAAAGACCTGGTCATTCTTCAGTCCTAGAACCAAGCAAGAGGGATAGCTTTTCAGACTAATAAATTATGGCCCTGGCCAGTGTGGCTCAATTGGTTGGCGCATCATCTCATGTCCTAAGGGTCGAGGGTTCGATTCCCGGGGTCAGGGCACAAGCCCAGGTTGCAGGTTTAACCCTCGGTTGTGGCGTGTGCAGAAGCAGTCAATGGATGTTTCTCACATCAATGTTTCTCTGTTTTCCTCCCTCGCCCTTCATCTCTTTCTAGAATCATATCCCAGGGGAGAATTTAAAAAAAAACAAAACAAAACAAAAAAAAAAACGAGTAAAATTATGGCATTTCCAGTACAGCCATTTGTTTAATGTTTTTGGTTAGTCAGAATTATAAAATCCTTATAAAATCCTCAGGCATGCGCCGCACTGGAGACTGGCAGGAATCAATCTGTTTAGCCTTTTTTCCTTTAATCTCAGGAAGACATTCATTCTCTGAGTAGCAGATGAAAAAGCTAATGTTTAGAGGCCCCGTCTTTAAAAAAACACACACAAAAAACCCTTAAATGCCAGACTGGCACTCAGTGAGTTGATATGCTTGAGTTACAAAAGGACCTCTTAAAGGACCCGCAGATTGGCACCTCCGATGGCACCGTATGCCACGAAATAACACTCCTGCAGGAGAATGGTGCCGTAAGCCCTTGTGCTTTTAAAGGGATTTCTTTCTTTGATTATGAGGGCATTGAAGTCATCCAAGTTTGTGTGAGTTAGAATAAGTTCAATAGGAATGTGATGCCAATTCACGGTGTTCCCTCGCAGAAAGTTTAAGGGGTCCTAAGAAAAGAGAAGGGGGACACAGACAGACATGGCAGGCTCTGTAAGGAGGCCGCCCCAGGAGGGCTGGAGCACCTGGTGGCTGGGTCTGAGGATCCCGAGAAGTTCGAGACCCGATTGCTTTTCTTCTCTCAAGTCGAGAGTCAGGGTTGGCTTGGCCAGAGTTGGCTGACATGACTTGTTTTTGGCCATGGGTATTTCATTTCTCACTGCCCTCTCTCCTGAGTTACTAATTCAGAAATTGATATATGAATTTAGTTATTAACTATAATTTAACGAAACTTAAGTTGTATATTCAGTAACATGTATTGACATTTTTATTCCATTGAGATGCAATTATGTTTCATTCAGAGATACTGAGTTTGACTTATTAAAAAAGTTCTTTGTGTATGTATGTACCGTGTTTCCCCAAAAATAAGACATCCTCTGAAAATAAGACCTACTTACGGGTTTCCTTCTGAGTGAAATATAAGGCCCCCCCTAGGCTCTGTCTCAGAATGCTATTGCTAAACATGGGAGATTTGGCCCACTGATTCTGAAAGAAATGGAGTCACAAAAAACTCACCAGGAAATTCAGGAATTGGATTGTTATGATGATGTTCCAGAAGACGATGACATGATTATCATTGAATAAATGAGTAAATTCTTGATACTGTAGGTTTCACAGTTTGTCTGGTTTGTGTTGACAGCTACTGTACTACCGTACCGTATACAGGTAATAAATTTCCTTTATTTTCATTTAACAATAAATGTGTACCGTATTCTTCTTTATGGAAAAATAAGACATCCCCTGAAAATAAGACCTAGCGCATCTTTGGGAGCAAAAATTAATATAAGACACTGTCTTATTTTCGAGGAAACGATAAAATGTGTGTTCTAGTGCTTAAACTATTAAGGTTGTTAATAAAATTTATTGTCTTATTTATCATGACAACATTTACCAGACAAAACACTTTTTTATACACATACATACTTTAAAAATGTAGGTCTGTTTATACAGTTTGTAAGTAGCTGTTTGGGTACAATATTCTTTGTGTTGTCATTATTAATTTATGTGGTACATTTGGGAATTGTTAGCAAATTTCTAAGTTTAGGATTTTAAATTAATCCATGCATATTAGATTAGACTGCAGTCCTCTGAAGGAGGCTGCAGGGGCTGGTGAGTAAAAGCGTGGTTTCTGGAGTCTGAAAGACCTGGGACTGTGCCCAGCAGGGTCTCCCATACTGAGCAGCACTGTCTGGTATGGCAGCTACTGGCCACACATAGCTATTAAGCACATCACATGTGGTATGACTGACTGAACTTAAATTGCATTTAACTTTAATTAATTTAGGTCTAGGTAGCCACATGTGACTGGTGGCTACCATATTGGGTCTCATAGTATGAGGAGACTTAACTTTGCTGTGTTCCAAACTCCCCACCTGTTCAGATGAGGCCATACTTAAAACTACCTTTTGTAGATGTTGTAAGAACAAGTACATGAATGTACTTAAGGAGCTTTACACTGTACCTGGAATAGAATATGTCCTTGAGAAATGGTAGTTAGTTATAATAATGATATATTTAATAAACTGGACTGACTTTCCGTTTGAGCATTAATTTAAACCTGTCTATTTTTATTCCCTTTCAGGATTAACTTACTTTTGGAAATCAAGTGCAATAATAAGAGGAAAACAAACTGTACCGCACATTATTTGAAGCCATTTCTGCTATAATTTTATTACATTTTGAAATTTATGGTTTGACTTGAATGCTGTCATGGGAGGAGCGGTGAGCGCCGGGGAAGATAACGATGACTTAATCGATAACTTGAAAGAAGCTCAGTATATCCGCACGGAAAGAGTGGAGCAGGCCTTCCGAGCCATTGACCGCGGCGATTACTACCTGGAAGGCTACAGGGACAACGCTTACAAAGACCTGGCCTGGAAGCACGGGAACATACACCTGTCGGCGCCGTGCATTTACTCTGAAGTCATGGAAGCACTGAAACTTCAGCCAGGATTGTCTTTCCTTAACCTGGGGAGTGGAACCGGCTATCTAAGTACAATGGTGGGCTTAATTTTAGGTAATTTATTTTTGTAAAATTCTTCTTTCAAAAGTAAGCTAAGTGTGTATGACTGTGTGTGTTTGTCAGGGTCTGTAACTTCGTTAGTGTACAGTATATGTTTGAATGTTTATGCTCCAAGTAGCTGACTTCCTTCAATGGGAGCACAAAGTAATAGTAAACTTTGCTTAGTCCCGGCGTGGACACTCACGTTAGCTTCTGCATCCAGTCCTAGACTTCAAGAGCTCTCAGAATTGTTTTCCAACCCCCAGTCATTGTCTGTACTTAAAACGGAACAGTTGGTAGGCAGGAGTCTGAGGAGTATA